TCCTCCCACGGCTGGGAACAAGCCGCGCTGTATGTGGACAGCTGTTCTCTGAGTTCTCACTCCCGCTTCGCCCACCACCCTGATCCCACTGGGACCATGCAGGGGTGAGGGGACGCGCTGGGAGGACCAGGAATGGCTTTCAGTCCTGCCGGGCGATCTGGGTTCAGCTTGGTGCCAGCCTGAGTAACGTTGGGTCTCTTTTGTTCTAGCTCTGACAGTCCGATTCCTCACCCGGAGGTTTATTGGTGAATACGGGGATATTGGTGAGTAGCTTTGCGTTATAATCTTTCTTTCTTTCTTCCTTCCATAAGTCCACAGTCACTTAACGGCTCCCTCTTTTTCCCCCTCCCCGTGCGGCTCCAGAATCCGTTTACACGCACAACGTGATGGTCGGAGGCAGAGACGTTTGCTTCAGCATCTGGGACTCCACCTGCCCCCAGGTGAGAAATCCCGGCCCGCGGCTTCCACCCCAACCAAATGGGCTTTTGGGACAGAATGGATGGAATGAGTTTGTTGGGACTCAGGCCAGCTCCTAACAGGACAGGTGTCCTCCCAGCAGATGGAGCCATGGCCGCTCATCCCTACCCCTTTCTCCTCCTAGAAGGGCACATGGACAAGGACAAACTTGCTTTGGTGCAGGGCCTATAGGAAACTCCTCTGCCCTCAACAAACATGGCCCCCTCGGCTTCCACCTGAGACTGAGAAGTGGCACCCAATTCCTTTAATAATGGAATTACTTTTCGAGGGAGGGAGGCTGAATAAAGACCGAGGGGGGGAGGACGAGAGCATTGCTGACAGAACTGACCGTCCCCAATGCCCTGGCGGCGACCAATGTCAGGCACTCACCAGTGTCTCCATGTGCCCACAACAAAGATGGCTGCTTCAGCTCTTCCCCAGTAATGGCCAGACCCTCCCTCCCCTCCTAGCTGGTCAGTTGTGCCATGCGGCACCTGGAGGGGAAAATCCTTTCCTGACCCCCCCCCCCCCCCCTCCTCCCCAGCTGGGCTGAGGCAAGAGAGGGGGTGGGTTGATCTGGTCACCATGGCGACATGATGGCCTCTTCGCCTCGGCTAACTCCTGGTTTTTGTCCCGCTCTCTCTAACCTGCTCCCACTGCCTCCTTTCCAGGCTGCCGAGCTCCAGGGCTGGGTGAGCGAGAAGCAGCTGCGCTGGGCGGACGGCTTCGTCGTGGTCTACAGCATCTGCGACCGCTCCAGTTTCCACCTGGCCCGCCAGCAGCTCCAGCGCATCCGGCAGCTGAAGAGACGGGGCAGTTCCGAGAAAGCGCCCGTCATCCTGGTGGGCAACAAGCGGGACCTGCAGCACCGGCGGGCCGTCTCCAGCGAGGAAGGACGGCTCCTGGCCCTCTCCACGAACTCGGGCTTCTTCGAGATCTCGGCCGCCGAGACGTACCACGGCGCCCTGGTGGTCTTCCACGAGCTCCTCGACCTGGTGCGGGACTCCAGGAGCTCCGGCAAGAAGGCCGTGGGCATCCGTGGCATCGTCCGCACCATGTCGGCTGTCTTTGGGAGGAGGAGGACGGAGTAAGCGAGGAGGGGCCCCGCGAAGAGAGCTCAGATCCTGGGGACAACGGAACGTAGCCGGAACCACGCGCCAGTGGCTTGGGTGTCACCGGTTCCTCGGCGTGGCATGAAGCGTGGCACCGGATGAGCCCCTTGGCGAGGGTCCATGGCGAGAGCCATGGGGAAGCAGTTCTGTGTGTGTGCCGCCGGCCTTCTCTGGTGGGAGCTCTGGCTGGGGGTCTGCGATATAATCGGGGTGGTAATTACATTCCGCCTCCCTACCTGTGCCCGCTGGCAGTTTCCGCTGGAGGAACGATTCTCCACCTGCCCCTTCCTAAAAATTGTGACCGTGTGGCTGTTAAAGAGCTGCTGCGCTCTGCCCCAGAGGTGGGTGCATTTCACGGGGTGGGTGAACGAGCGATGTTTACAGTGAACCAGGTTTGTCGAGTGGACATTGGGTGCCCAGTTCTCCCCTGACACCTGTGCAGAGTGGGCGTGTAACACTAGCAACCCTGAATGGCAGCATTTTACGGGCACTTTGACTCCAGAGGGCCAAAACCCCTGCTGGAGGAAACTTGCACTGCTCCATGGAAGTGCACCAGATTTGGAACACAAGGCAGCAGAGAAGCTGTCACCCAGATCCCATATTTGGATGATACGGTCAGTATATGGGACCTGAGCCTGAATTCAGGCTCAGCTCCTGTCGAGAGTTGGATACCACAGTGAGGGGCAACCTATAAAACCTTTGCTTGAGGTCCAAGCATTGGGCCCTCTTAACCAAAGGCACGACTGTCTGCAGCAACCTAAAAGCCTGAAGCACAAAGTTTACGTACTTTTAAGGGGCCCATGTTTGAAAACTCGGCTCTAAACCCTCGGGTAGTAGAGAGAAGATTACAATTGTGGTGGCGAAATAATGGGGCTTACTGAAGTTTGAGTCGCTTGCACTGGGCTGCATTGGTTTTTCTGCTGGGTTTCCAAATTACTTTTAGCAGGAAAAGTAATCGGGCCAGGTTCTGATCTCAGTTATGCTGGTCTGAACCCACGGACTTTAACAGAGTCACTCTGGAGTTACACTTGCTGTAACTGAGAGCAGAATCGAACACACTGCGTGACTCGTCAGCTACACCAGTGTCAATCCACAGTCACTCCATTAGTCAGTGGAGTGACTCTGAATTTATTTCAGTGTAACTGACGGAGGCAGTTATTGCGCCCGGTGGCATTTGTCATTGCATGCAGCGAAGGCTAGTGACAGAAGTAAGGCTCAGGACTCTGGGGTTCAACTCCTGGCTCTGCTACTGATTTCGCCGTGCGACTTTGGGCAAATCACGTCCCGCCCTGTGCCTCAGTTTCTTCATCTGTAAGATGGGGATAATAATGCCTACCTCACCGTTTGTGTGGTGTGAGGCTTCATTAGTTGCAAAGTGTAAACTATTATTGATTTTTTTTTTCCAAAGCCAAATTCTCAACCTAGAATATTAGAAACACAGAGCTGCTGAGAGATAGGGCTTTCACTGTTTAAGGCAGGGTCATTTGAAATGCCACCTGTCCCAGGGTGAGTGGGGAAAATGTTATAGTCTCCAGCAGCTGGAATACAAATTCTCCCAAATGAAATGTGAACTGTTGTATATTTGTGAATAACATAAATATTTAACTTATTGGAGCGAATGTTTACATCCGGAATTTTTTTTTTCCCGGTTAAAATATTCTACTTGCACATTAGAAAAAATAAATGATGGTGAAAAAATGTTATTTTTGGATGGGCAATAAAAGTTTGTATGTTATAAAAGAAAAGAGTTCAGTGCTTTCACTATGACTCTTTGCCCTTGGAGGAAAATCTCAAAGGAGCTGGATTCAGTTCCTGGCTTTGCCACGGACGCCCTGGGTGATCTGGGCAAGTTACTCAGGCCCAGCTATTACAACAGGGGAAAAAAGGGGGGGGGGGGGGTGTCATCAGATTTCTAAGTAACGAACAGACAGTAGAGAGGCTCTGGCACTGATCTGTTACCTAGTGGATAGCAAACTGGACGGGGGACTCGGGAGACCTGGATTCTGTTCCCAGCTCTGCTGCTGGCCAACCTTGGGCAAGTCACAGCCCTGCGGTGTGCCTCAGTTTCCCCATCTGTAAAATGAGGATAATTATCCCTCCTTTGGAAAGCGCTTTGAGACCTGCTGATGATAAGAGCGAGTGGTGGTTATTATTTAACCCACACTACAAAGCCAAAGGGATGAGCAGCGAATGGAGTGGCAGGTACTTTCGGCACAGATGCAGGCAGCAGTCTGGTGAGGTCGGTCCTGAGGTCAGAGCAGGCCACAGTGTCATGAGTTATTGTGCCCTGGGACACTTTTCACAGCTCAGACATAGCAAGGGGGGTTTCTTTGCAGGTTGGGTTCTAGTGGGCAGAGTAAGGGGACTCCTGGGACCCATGTCTAGGAGGGAGTGTTGTCTGGTGGGTTAGAGCAAGGGAGTGGGAGCCAGGACTCCTGGGTTCTCTCCCTGTGATTGACCTCAGAGGGGTCACTCCTGCTCCAGGTGTCTCACTGCAGTCAGTTTTCCCTTCCTCCCTGCATAGAAGCGCTCACACGGTCACAGACACCAAACAGAGGGAGCCGGTTGATCTGCAGCCACGCAGATGGGGGCGGAATCCACGCAGCCCTTGGGACCATCCTGTCCCCGCCCCAGCCATGAGACAGAAGCTGCGGCTGGGGAGCAGACGGCGGAGGGAGGCTGGCGGCGCTATTTGTGAAGCTGAGTGGGAGGGGGGCATGGAACCGACGCCCACGTGCCGCGACAGTCACCATCCGTGGGTTCTCGGGACGCACCTCCCCCACAGATGGGCATTTGGCAGCGTTACCCAGCGTCCAAGCAGAGCGGGTTTGGCCAGAGCCACACAGCTTAGGGCTGCCTGCAGCACTGACTCACATGGGGACGTGTGTGGGGCAAATTCTGGGGTGGTGTAAATGACACATGAGGCCTGAGCCTCAGTCATTCCTCCCAGGCTGGAGTGCGGGGGAGAAGGCATTTAGTCTTTTATTCTGCCTAGCCTCCAGTATAAATCAGAGTGGCCTCAGGGCTGCTCTAACTTACGCTCTGCTCCCTACAGGCCCTCGGCAGCAGAGAACAGTCACAGTACAGTGTGCTCTGGTCATGCCCTGATTCACCCCCTTGCTCTTATTACCAGCCTCCCACAGACATGAGTGGGGGAATCCACTGTGGACTGAAGGGAGTATGAAATCCTGAGTTTATATCCCAGCCCAGGGACCATAATAACCCTGGGATCCAGCCCTCTCTACTAAACCAATTGGTTCAGTCACAGGGCACTGGGCTGGGGCTCAGGAGGCCTGGCTTTGATGCCTAGCTCTGCTACAGCCTCACTGTGTGACCCTGGGCAAGTCACTTGAGCTCGCTCTGTGCCTCAGTTTCCCCATGTGCAGAATGTCGCTAAAGACCATTAGCAACTGAATGCTGATAAGGGACATTATAAGGACCTAGGCAGAGAGTTAACCCCCTGTTTGCCAGTGCACAAGGGGCTCTGCACTCAGGCACTGAAGATGGAAACTGATCTATTCTCCCTGGGACCCACATGGCTACAACAACCCTGCAAACAACTAGTCTCTCTGGGACAGTGCAGGGGTGAAGCTTGCCCTGCTGTGCCCTGTTCTGGGTGGATAAACAAAGGGTTCTAGCGCCTGGGATGCCTCACACCAGCACTGATCTGTGTTTGGTTTTACACCGGAGTCCATACTCGGAAGCAAATGCCCTGGAATAGAATTTACCCCTCAGTGTGGCGGCCCACACATTCTCCCCTGAGCCCGCAGGCTACAATGTGGGGACTGAGCAAGGGCAGAGACCATGTCCCCTTAGTCAGCATCCTCTCAGGAATCTGCTAACCTCCCAACTGGCTGAGCATTCACAGAGATGCGGTCACTTCCCCTTGCTGGGGGCAACACAGCCGAACAAAGCTCAGCTCCCGTCATTTCCAGGATGTTACAGAAAGGCTCTGGATTTGGGAGCGCATAGTAGCAGCTACGGGCCAGGCTCTGATCTCTCTTATACTGGTGTAAATCCAATGCAGAGAGTGACTCTGGGTTTGCCCCAGGGAGCAGAATCTGGCCCAGTCTCCTAATCCAGTAGGGACCGGGGTGTGTGAAATCTGAGGCGGTCTCTAAACGAGGACTGTGCAAAGAACATTATAAAAAATAACATGCAGAGAAAGATAGAAGTTAAAAGCAGCTCAGATCAAATAAAAAATGTAGGGTCCCATCCTGGTGCTGATGGACATATATTTGACATCCCTGTTCACCAATCCCCCCAAAGCTGCCATATCAAGAAACAATGGGCCCTTTTGGATCATGGGAGGTGAATCAAAGGAGCTGTTCTATCTGGTTTAGGGCATTAAATAGGAACCTTGTATGGAGGTGCAGAGCTACTCTACTGACTCACCCTTTCAGCCAGACCAGGTGGGGCCTGATTAAGCCTGCTCAACAACATAAAGGCTGAGAGTCTGGGAGTGAAGGGAGCGCTAGAAGAGGGCCTACAGGTAAGAGATGTAATGAGCCTGCTCAGGATGGAGCTTAGGAGGGAGGGGGGGCTAAGGTTTATCATGATAAGCACAGTCCTGCCTGAGGGCTTTGTTACCTTAATGAAAGAGGATGGCCAGCAGTGGGGAAGGGTGAGCTTGGACAATGTCCATCATGCATGTGCTGTGTTAGGAGCCAAGCACAGAGGGCCACTGACCACGCATCGTGCCCAATAAGTATCTACTGACCTACCAGGAGTTAAAGTGGAATGCAATTCTGGGTAAACAGCTGGGTGCATGGGGCTCTGGCTTCCCAGTTACAAAGGGGCCCCAGGCTCTCAAGACACTGCCCTGTCTAGCAGCAGTCGTTACCTCCCATACACCAGGGGCCTGATTCTCTGCACCGGTGGCTGTCGTTTATACCATGCAAAGCAGGTGTGAAATGCCCCGGGCTCAGAACGGCAGTGTTGGACACGCACACTGCACTGGTGTACATGACAGCACCAGGGGCAGCATGATGGAGCTGGGGCCTGGAGCCAAACACCTCCAGACTGCGGGGAAGTTCAGCAGGTGGATCTCAGCTCCAGAACGGCCTGAAACCAAACCCTGGGGGGAGTCAGGATTTGGATCTGAATTCTGCAGCTCCGGTCCACCTCTAACTCCACTGTAACATTTATGGGCTGGGGTCACCTTCACCTGGCCCTATCAGGAAGGGTCGAGCAGCCTCTGAACAGTGAGATAGAGAAGAGGCCTGGGGCTCGCTCCTCAGAGCGACAAATGCCGCTGAAGTCAACAGCCACTGGGGGCATTGAGGATCTTGGAAAATCATCTCCATAAGGCAGATCTCTGGAAGGCTCCAGGCAAATTAATTGATCAAAAGGCCCCCTGCAGTACGGAGGTAACACCTGTCCTGTGTCTGCAGAGACACCAATAAGCATCGGCTTCTGTGCGCTCTCAGCAAGGCGGCGATTGAAGGAGGCTCAAAGAACTGAAAAGGAAGAACAGGAGGGCGAGGAATAGAACAGAAGACTCATTTAACAGCAGGCGAGGGGACGCCAGACTCGGCAATCAATAGCCTCACTACAGAGACACGGGGCTGGATTCTCCACTCGCTTTCCCCAGTGTCAAAAAGGAGCAGCTCTGCGGCAATCAATGGGGCTACGCCGGTGTGAAACCGGAGTGAGATCAGATTCTGGCCCACTTGCTGACCCTTGTGCTGCACCCGCTGGCTGCGGGGCAAGTGAAATGGACGTGTGCGAGCTAAGGGAGGGCTGGAACAATTCCACAGTGGTCTCGTAGGGCCCGATTCGCACCTCAAACTGGTGTCAAGTATCAGGGGGTAGCCGTGTTAGTCTGTATCTACAAAAACAACAAGGAGTCTGGTGGCACCTTAAAGACTAACACATTTAGAAGTGAGGTTTTTACTCAAACTGGTGTAAGTCAGGGGAACGCACACGGGAGTCACTGGACGTGCCCCTGAGGGGCGAGTCAAGCTAAAGAGGGATACATATTTTGCAAAGCCCCAGTCTGAGGGCGCATGCAATGCACACGGCATGCGTATCGCCGCTCGCATGGGCCCGGAGCCTGCAGCCACTCAGCCCTCTTCTGGGACTGCAATGGAAGGGAGGAGAGACAAGGCCGCAAGCCAGCCTGAATGGGAATGACAGGTTATTTGAGACAGGTGCGCCTGTTTAGATACAATCCAAAGTGCCCCCCCCAATCCTTTACCTATTGTTTAAACACAGACATGGGGAACTAGCTGCAGGATGCTTACCGCAGGAGGATGCAAGTTCCTGGCCCTGGGAGGAACATGGTCTAGTGATTTAAACAGGGGGCTGAGACACAGGCCATTCTGTGTCTGGCTCTGGGAAGAGAGTGGGGTCTAGCAATTAGAACCAGGGGGCTGGGAGACAGGACTCCTGGGTTCCATTCCCAACACTGGGGCGGGGAGTGTTGTGTAGGGCTGGGATTTAGGATCCCTGGAATCTATTCCACTAACGTGCCTGGTGACGAGTCACATAGTCGCTCCGTGCCTCAGTTTGCCCACCTGTAAAGTGGGGGGATAACACCCATGTGCTTAGCATGTGCGGAGAGTCTGCGCGAGTGATGCAAGAACCAAGGATTGCTATTTCTGAGTGAGCTGTGCCCGTTTGCAGACCCAAGAGAACGAACGGCAAGGGGACGCAGCCCTGGCTCCACTGAATGTGGCTGGGTTCACGTATTTTTTTTTTTTATTA